ATTTAAATTAATTTTACTAATAAACTCAATAATTTAATTAAAAATAACTTTAACTTTAACTTTTTTAATAACTTTTTAAAAAACATTTCATTATTAAAAATTTTAACATATATATATAATTAATTAATATATTTTTTAAATAATTAATAAAGTAATAAATTTTACCTTATTACCTTTTAACTTATTAAAAACAAAACTAAAAACAATAATATTTAATACATAACTAAAACAACATATATAACATTATTTAATTAACTCATTTACTTTACAATTTATTAAACCTTGGTTTTAATATTTAAAAAAATATTTAATAACCTTATCATTAATTAAAAATTAAATTAATTATTAAATTATTATTAATTATAACAAAAATATTTATATATTACATTATTTAAAATAAAATATCTTATCCTTTTTAATATCCCATACGTATTAATAATATTAATTAAATAAACCACCATATTTTCGCTTATATAACTTTTATATACATAACATAAACTAATTAACCATATTTTATATTTAAAATTCTTATTAATATAATATATAACCACGGTTAATACAACCTTTTTACTTAATAATTATTATATATTAAAAAATAAATAAACCTTAAATTTAACATGGTTAAAAATTTAATATTTAATAACGTTACGCGTTATAATATAACACTTTTTAAATTAATAAAATATAATATTTTTTACCGCTAACATTATATCTTTAACAAATATTAAATTATAAAATTTAAATATATCCTTAAATTTATTTTATATTATAATATTAAACGTAATATTATAAACATTAATAAATTTTATAATTAATTATTTAAAATTATTTAAAATTTTTATAATAAAATGCTTTTTATTTTAATTGTAAATTTATTTTTTAATATTACAAAAAAAATTAATATTGTTATTAAAGTTAAAATTAACCGATTTAATATTATTTTTTATTTTAATAAATATATTATAATAAGATTTTTTATTACTTTTAATATATTATTTAATATTATTAATTAAATTAATATTAAATTTTTTAATAATATTTTATTTATTGCAAAAATAACAAAACTATTACTTATCGCCTTTTTTTAAGTAAATATTGCTTTTTTTATTAATAATTTATTTAATAAAAATTAAATAATTATTATATTTTAAAATATTTAAAATAACGCTTATATAAAACCATACGTTAATAATATACTTAACTTTATTAATAATAATACATAATAAAATTTACCAAATAACATTAATATTAATAAAGCTTTTTTATTTAAAAATTCGGTTTTAAATTATTTTATAATTTAAAAAAACTTTATTACCTTTTATCATATAATTAAAAACATTAACCATTATAAAATTCCAAATTTAATAATAAAATAAATAATAAAATAAAAATAAAAAATATAACAAATTAATATATCTTTAAATAAAAACCATTAATATATAAAAACCAAAAAATTTAATATATTAATAAAATACAACCAATATACTTTTTATCGTTAATAACAATTTAAATATATAATATATTTTAAAATTAAATAAAATTATTTTAATAATTTATTATTACGTTAATTATAAAAAAGTATTAAAAATAACCTTATATTTACTTTAATATAAAACGTTATTAATTATACAAACAAATATTATTAAACAATTTACTTTAAATTAACTAATTATACTTTATAAATATATATATAAATGGGCTTAAACAGCTTTAACTTATTTACCTACTAGGCAAATAAAAAAAATTTATATCTAAACTATATAAATATCCCGAAAAAACTATTTATCTAAACCCGGTCAGGTCAGGCCCGAATTAGGTCAGGCTATTAACTAACTCATTAAACACGCTGTGCCTAACCGTCTTATATAGCTCTATATCAAATTGCGCCGTGAATATCCGAAGTACGATGCTCATCATTTAGGAGATCTGTGGAAGATTCCACGATGAACAGAAAACCTTGCACGCCGCGTGTTTTTTCGCGGAGTCGCCGAAGCAATTTACGTCTTCCACGCAACACCTGGCTTCCCGTCCTCCATTCCGCATTTGTTTCAGGAGAGTTAGGTACCTATATCATCTACTATAAGGGCTGCAGTCAGAGATTGCGCCAATGCAAACCATCTACTTGGCTTGTATTTCATTTAAGGCTCACTTGTACCAACACCGGCAAGAGTGAGAACCAATAACAGATCGCGTCTATATTGTAGTTAGCCCGAGTATGTTCCTCCATTCTGCGTGAAGATTCATTGGGTACTTACCTCTTTCCCCGGGCTGTACAGTGACGTAGGATGGTATGGCTTCTCTATCTTCTTTTATGACGGCCAGTAGTTCAAATTACTTGCCTATTGTCCCGCAATATTGGTTAAGCCTTGTTGATTTGGAATAGCAAATTGTTTTAGTGATACGTTAGAGATGTATAAGCCATCGGTAATCCTATCACCGGTAAAAAGGGGCCCCTAGACTATTTCCTCTGCCCGAAATGCTGGAGATGTCTCAGTCCTTTTACCCGGTGACAGCCTATCAGAAATGTGTTGCATATTAGCCCGAGAATATTAGCCTCTTAGCTTTTACAGCGTACAGGGACAATAGCATACCGTGACTTTTCTGGAAACTCGATAAGTTGGGTACCACCCATGTTAATATTAATAGGATATAGATGCTTCGGCAGTTAATAAGCAAATACTCAGTTCCCGCCATGTGTCTGAATCTATATATATCCAAACATGTCCAACTAAGGGCCCTATCTGGTTCACACTCTGATCATCAGCCAGCACAATCCGTGGTATCAAAGTTCTCTCACAATGTTTTGGACTACTCTCCTCGGCTTCGCCGCCTTCGCCGAAGCGGCCCCCCAGTTCGGCGGTGGTTTCGGTGGCACTACTATGCTACGATTCGGATGCCCGAACGTCGTTATTGACAGGTTGGACCCTCTCGTCAACCCCGGTGCAATCCCTTCCTCGCACGTTCACCAAATCGTAGGAGGAAATGGCTTCAACGCCTCGATGACAACTGGAGATGTCGCCGAGACTGCTGACTGCACAACTTGCCAGTTCAGTAAGCTTTTCATCGAGGGAAAATATATATATGACACTTACTTACGTTCATATAGGCGAGGACTTCAGTAACTACTGGACAGCCAACCTCTACTTCAAGGCCCGCAATGGCACGTACAAGCGGGTCCCCCAACTTGGTCATGCGTACGTATACTTAGGAGTTCATTGGGTTTTTGTCTGTCAGTCGCTCATGCTTCGTTAGTCTACAATTCAACGACCAGTTCAGCACCCAAACACAAGGTGGTATTCTTGTGTACTACGTCTCGGCTCAGCCCGGCCAGATCACCGCATTCAAGCCGGTTAGTATCACCTAAGTACGAGCGACTTACAGAAATTGTATTAATCCATTTCAATAGGGTTTCCGTATGCTCTCCGGTGACGCCATGGCGCGCTCCAGGCCCGACACCAAGTTGAAGAGGCAAAACTGCTTCCGTTGCTACACGGGACCTAACTACGGAGGTGACACTGGTGCTCCATGCATGGACGACAAGTTAGTATTGCTATTCTCGCCTTTTAGTAACTGTCGTAGCTTATCATAATTACAGCGTCGACTCTGAGGCTCTCCCCAACAAGGTGTGCGCAGGTGGTATCCGATCCAACATTCTTTTCCCCACGTAAGTTCCTTCATATTCCTTGAATTTAACTTGGAGAATGATTAATGGTTTGCCTAGTTGCTGGGATGGCAAGAATCTGGACAGCCCTAACCACCAGGACCACGTTGCCTACCCGACGTCCGGCCCGGCCAACTTCCTGAGCTTGGGAGGATCCTGCCCGTCAACTCACCCTATCCGGATCCCGCAGCTCATGTATGGTAAGTTATGACCCCCTTTCCTAGTTTATGATTGCATTAGTAACTCTCTTATTACCAGAGGTTGTCTGGGACACCACCAAGTTCAACGACAAGAGCCAGTGGCCCACCGACGGATCTCAGCCATTCTACCTCAGCACAGGCGACAACACCGGATACGGCCAGCACGCTGACTACGTTTTCGGATGGAAGGGTGACGCCCTCCAGAAGGCTATGGACACCTCTGGCTGCATGGGTGCCCGCTGCGCAACCCTCACGACCCAGGCCATCGACGCGGCAAGGAAGTGCAGCGTGAAGAAGGTTGTGTCTGAGGACGAAGACGGATGTAAGTTTTACTACTATCGAAGTCTATAGTTCATTTCTCTAACCAGAAAATAGGGCTTACCGAGCTACCCGGAACTAACATGCCCATGGTATAAAGCGCCACCGACCCCGTACTCAACTCAGCATGGCATGTTAGAAGCGTCAAGAGCGGTTAATTGGCTACGAGGCTTGGAACAGAATAGAGCGATAGTAATATAGATTGTTCAATTAATTTTATCGCATTCTTCTCTGATTAAATAGATACCCGATTCAAGCATCTGATGTGTACCAAGCCCTATTTAGAATTGGTGCATAAAATCCACCTACGTGATACCAGACATGTTGAATATATTCATAATTGATCCGGAATATAAAGGGGAATTATGTTTTGATATTACGCTCATATGAAGCTCTAAATTTCATCTTCAATGTGCTGTATCTGTTACTAGCTTTACTCTATCTCAGCCATGGCATATACAAATGCTCATAGGTTGTGTTCCCTTCCCTTCAACTGAACTCGAAGGTCGGTCCGTATTGCCAGTAATGCCCTTCCACGCGCGGGCTTATGTGATACTGAGTTGCGTTTCGATAAAGCAACCTTGCCGCAAACACAGATATGTCCACAATCTTTATCTTCTCAACGCTGGGTATCTCAATGTCGTCAGAACGACGCTTATATATGGTGGTACATCTGCTCGCCTGTAGCTTAGATGTCCTTCTACATCTTGGGTATCAATAGTATATCGCCTCCCTTTCCTCGACGCTGGAGGTAGGAGGATCAGGTTCTGGTGTAAGGTCGGAGGTAATTTGTGTATACAAATTCTTGCTTCGGTTATCGACTACTTTTGCTTGACCATCCAGAGGATCCAGCCGCCGACGCCAAAAATACAGGTAAATGCTAGGTTAAAACATGTTAGCTTAAGATATGGTATAATAGACCAAGCTGACACTTACCCACAAGAAACGTTTCAACCGCTCTATGGTCAACCTCCCTCTTCATGACGATGCTCATATTGCTCATTTCCCGGGTGATGAGCTGGGGCAGCTCTCGGGTAATAAGCTCAGTGTTGATAGCGGGCATGGTGAGAAATGACAAAAGTAACTTAATTAAGAATTATAAATTGTTAGAGTTGATAAATATTTGAGGTTTATAGAAGTAAGTATGAGAATGGAAAATGCGAAGTGAAGCGCTGCTTGACTCTTTCAAGTAGTACATCTGATCGACACGGCTGGGTTATTGTCAATTTAAGTAACCAGAAAAACTGAGATTAGAAACCCCTGGATCCTGGCGCCGACGAAGTCATCGCGGCTCGGCTCATTATCAGTCGATTTTAGAGGCTTTCCTATTCTGGGTCATAGCATCAGGTGGATTCGAAACAATACCAAAGATACCCCCTAAGCGCACCAGAGGTAGTTAGTGATAGCTTGGCCCGTTTGCCTACGCATGCCAGATTTCGTCTATTAAATGCAACATCCTGTCAAGTACATTAGGTATCTAAGGTAGGTGTGTAGAAAACTGCTGTCGTATTGCTCTCTGATAGGATTATGTATCCTAGTATTTGACTTTTATCATTGCTTCTCTCATCCTCGTGTAGATCTATTGTCGTCAAAAGGAGTGTGGGCTTAGTGGATCTACCGAAAATCAATTAATCGATCGTGCCATATGGCGCGAGGAGAAATATGACTGAAACAGATTTGCGACAGGGTTTAATGAATACACTAGAACTAAACACTACGAGAAGAACCAATAGCTTTACAGCATTTCCATGACGCATTTACCGTTGATTCTTCAAATGCAACGTAAATAGCAAGGTGAGTAGATTTGAGCCTTGAGCCTCAATATGCGGTCCTTATTTAACATGGGGGGATGGTAGAGGAATCCCCCTTATCCCTGGCACTTGTGTTACATACTATTACGGTACCCAATACGAAGTAAATTATTTCAAATTGACAGGCCAAAAGGCCAAGTCTCTCCCTCAGATTCGTACTCCACCGCCCTTCACGAAGATTGAGAATTCGAAGGCCGAGAACAACTTTCTTCACTCCCGTAGCGTGCATGCAGCATCAGTCGCTCATAGATAATGCCGGACGAACCTGCGTGATTTATATATCCTAGTCCTAGCGCTTAGCCGCTCTTTTCACAACTGCACCATGTTGAGGACTCAACCTCTCCAGGGATATTGGCATGGAAGTGACTATTCAACTGTCATTCTCATACCTTCGCGCACCAAAAATATGAGCAACCTCCTATCTCCCCCAATTATACTGCACTCGAGAACATTTAGCATTTTAACAGTCTGACAGTCCCTGTTCGCCCCGCCATTTAGGCCCGTGTCCAGTAATAATTGCAGATCCCTCTCCTGTTGTACAGAAGGCATTCCGCCCTGATATGTCTAGGTTACAGTGGCTGGTATCGCTATAAATATAGTGGTAAAGTACCTGAATTTAGTGAACGGGCCACTATCCGACCTTCACCTTAGCATTACCTAGATCTTCGTGGGTAGCACGCTAGAATCTAAGTACCTAAGACAATACGCCCTAAAAACTATTTGACAGGGATGAATTATCTTCTAGTTTACACCGTAAATAGCTTGGCTTAAATCTTAAATGACTGCATCGCTTCTATCAAGTGGAACCAACTCCGCATCCCCGTGCCGGGGGTGTACCGTGACAAAGCTACGGGTTCGGATGTAGGTACGCCGGACTCACGGGCAGCATCAATCATTTCGGAAGACCGCAGGATAAGGACACTTGTAAACCAGACTTTTCTTTGAACGCTCTCACCTGCTCGTCTATCAATTCATATCTAGCAAGCGAGATACTTTTTCCTGTATCCATAAATTCCGAGGGGGTAGACGGGTTGGTGTCACGCCGGCGACCGAGAAGCTCGGAGCGAGCTCATGCCGATGACAAATCGATTTCTTTGTATGTAAAATACCTTTCAGGGTCGCGCATCCGTTACGCAGTTCGAGGATTGTTTCCAACTTTCAACTCATTATTCTTTTCACCAAAATCTCCATACTCGCTTTCGATTTCGCTCACTATGGCCATGACCATTCGGAATGTGGCACTTCTTGGTGTAAGCATGACGTCTATACTCTGTTGATTCATAGGTACTAAAAATATCACAGGCTACTGGTGCTTTAGGGGCACACATTCGTGGTGCACTAACCCAGGCAGGCTTCGTGGTAACTGCCATTCAACGCAAGGGTTCTACCAACCCCGTTCCCTCAGGGGTCAAGAGCATTAAAGTCGAACTATCCAACAAAGATGATTTGACGTCTGCTTTCAAAGGGCAGGATGCCGTAGTCAGGTCTGTCATCATTTCTTTTATGCTATGTCTCGTCTCTCGAGGCTCACTTCAGCCACCTGACTCTGATTAGCGCTGTCCCAAATCCTACTCTCGCAACAGAGAGTATTATGATTGATGCTGCCATCGCGGCCGCTGTGAAACGGATTATTCCATCGGAGTATAGCACCAACTTCGAGACCCCGCTATCACGACAGCTACCAATAGTTAAAGATAAGGCCCAAATCCGCGAGTACTTGCAATCTGCTATTGCGAATAACGGCACCTCCACAACCTGGTCCTCTGTGAATAATGGCCCATTCTTCGAGATGTGCTTAAAGCTAGGCGCATTGGGTCCCAACATCAAAGAGAAAAAGGCCATCTTTCATAATGGTGGTGACCACTTGATCGGAACCTCAACACTCCCTGATATTGCTGCGGCGGTAGTCAAGCTTCTTGACCCTGCACACCTGGATGAAACTGCGAATAAGTCGGTTTATATCCATTCGGCCGCCATTAGTGAGCGTCTTCTCACAAAGCTAGCATCTGAGGTTACAGGTATTGATTTCGGTGATGTGGAAAGCGGAAAGATCCTGGATCTTGATATAGATCGCATGGTTGCTGAAGCCGAGGAGAAGCTAGCAAAGGGCGATAGATCTGGTTGGTTTAGTTACTACTATCAGATGATGTACGGAAAGGGCTACGGCGGTGAAGACTTCAAAAAGTTGTCTTGGAATGAACGACTAGGGCTCAGGACTATGGATGAGGCAGATATAAAGGGACTGATCCAGAGTATCGCTCAAGAGCTCGGAGTTCCGGTAGCTTCGAATACTAACACCTAGCCTGGTACTTATTAGACACGCAATAGATATGATAGGTCTACGACTTAGACATATACATGAATTCATTTGTGGTAATTTGTGACCACCATCATCTTTCCGTGGTTATGGAGCACTATTTCGGAGGAGTTACCGCGAGCAACATTGCTAGATGCAAGATAATACAAATACTCTGAAGTCTTTTAACCTAGAAACCATATATACCGGGCACTTTGTGTCTTCATACTCTGGTGGGTATTTTCCTTACATCCTCCCACCCTGGATATACCAATAACTGATAGCACAAAGCCCCTATATTCAAAACCAGTTGATAACAAACTATAATATTCCCTGAATAGAAAATTAGGGTTAGGCGAAGAAGGCAACCTTTGAGTACTCCGGATAAACCCCTAGTGATAAGCATAAAATAAACAAACACCTCGCCATGATCACTTCGTCGCTGTCCCATCGATTTATAACCCATTCGAATCGATTTTCATTCGTCTTGTACCCATAAGTCGTCATTCGGGACAAGATCACTTGTACCTAATTGATATTAGCTTTTAACTCATTTGATATGCCCATCCTCAGGTAATTATTAGACTTACAACTAAAAACATGCGTGAGAAATGTAGCGGAGATAAGCTGCCAGCAGTCCATCTCTTGGGGGTGGGTCGGGCGGTTGCAGGTACCAAGGAAGGTGTTGTTGATATCTCTCATGTCGTAGTTGTTATTTCCAGTTGCGTATAAAGCTATAGATATCTGTTAACTAAGTTCCAGGAGTCAGAAATGAAAAGGGGCATGGATCTACGTACTGACCGCTCCTGTCGATCGATTAAATAGAGGCACCGGATGGTCCGTCGAATGACCGACAGCATCGTCCTTATTATACATTTCAAAGCGGTCGATGACCCAGTCTCTCGGTGCTTTTGCGCTACATCCATCGCATGCCCATCGGCCCTTACTAGCATCGTTATTACTGCTAGCCGAGATAGGTACCACATGACCCATGTCGGAGCAACTAAGCGGTGCGTGGTCGTGGATTTGCATTTCCGTTGAGCTGAAAGTGACGCCCACATCGGTAATGTCGTTACTCTTTCCAATATAAATAGTGAAGTCTGCAAGTGCAGGCGACGCAGCCGCGACAGCAAGAAGGGTAGTTAGGAGGTATATCATTGTTGTTATCGTAAGCCAGACGTCGAAATTCTGATATGTTGGTTGTAATTACTGTTTCTTCTCCTTGGTAATTGCCGAGGACGTCCCCAGTCGGGCAAATGGTAGCCCTTAAGATCTATGATACCTGCATAGAGGAACCAGTATTATATCCCAGTGTGTGATAATATCTTGCCATTAATAGACGGGTTGGTCGAAGCTTATATAGTAAGGGTGCATATATGACGCTTCGATCCGATAGCAGCACTTGTTGACTGGAGTATCGACAACTTTCAGGTAATAGCCTCCTAGGTGCATGCTAAGAGTTAAAGTAAGTCTCAGTGTAAGCCACATACGTAAGAATCAGTCTGCAAATCAAATTTCATAGCCGTAACAGCTCATGATGTGAGTGAGTACTCGGTAAGATGTGGAATGTGGTTTAGAAACCGGGGTAAAGATCGTCTATAGTAGCACAATAGGGACAACTATATCGTCGATTGTTTTCTTGTAAGAGTTATGAAAATCATATACAATAATAGACAAACGGAAATAATGATCAACTAAATCAATACTGGCGAGCTCCATATACGGTCATTGAACTACAATAATAAATAGCAAGGTAGGTATGCATGGTATAAATCACTTGAGGTTGGGGAAATGAGACTTCGTTTGGAATCTAGGTCATTATACAATTTAACCAAGCATTTGGTTTTGAGATGTCTGCATCATTAGCAAAGCATAACTCCCTTGAAAGTCAATTTATTATGTCAATGTAAGACATTAACAAACACCGAATGACAACTAATTCCACTCCAGCCTTTCGACATGCCTAGTATCACTGAAGAGCCCATCCCAGGGAGCATATCAAATTTACGGTAGGTTCTTATCCCTATCATGAAATCTAAATTCTTCGATGGCTTTCTTTCAAGGAGGCCTAGGTACCTTGGTACATGGGTATCCCGTACCCTTCTTCAACCTTTCAATAGGTAGCAACAAGGGTTAAATCGGTACAATAGAGGTCGCGAATATAGCTACATCAGACGTGTCTTAGGTATGGTGACATCAGAACAGGTGAAAGTGAGAAAAAGTAAGTTTCAGGATCTAAAGGCACTCGAATCGCATAAAAGATTTTAGAACACTTTTAGCCATTTACCTAACATTCAAAAGCGTGGCTGTTTCGAGAGGCTAAGGAGACCTTAGATAGGTACCTAAGGCAAGGTGGACGTCATTGTAGGTATTTAATACATGAATTTATAGACATACGTAATGTTAAGTATTGCAGTCTAAATATCTTCCCTGAATTTTGCAATACCTAACGCATAAGCAACCAACCAATTAAGTTTTACATAGAATGATTCTTCTGGGAGACCTGGACATGCAACCATGCGATTTGAGACTTTTGTTTGTTATTACGTTGTACTATAGCTGGAGCATTCGTGAGACATTCCGGCACTTTAAGAGACAATAGAACACAAATCTAATAAATATAGTAGAATTATCAAAAAGAATCGTTAAAGTTTTATGCATTCTACGTTTATTTAGCTCTAGTACTCATGAAGTGGACTTTCTCTCATTGGTGATCTAGCGCCAAAACTTAATAGCAGCTGTTGAGACTTCCAGCTGGTATAAGTGATGAGATATTAATTGGTCCTCGCATCCTCGTTCCCCAAAGTCGCACCTGGCACCTCATAGTCCTTTAATTCGTTTGGAATATCCTCGTACGCAATCTCCTCACTTCTCTGCAATAGTTGATCCAGAAGGCTCAAAATGTGTTGTGGCGCGTCTGGGCCCACGTAAAATTCGCGACCAGCAATATCAATAAGAGTACCATTAGATGCTTCTATCTCTTCCTCTTCCGGCGGATTGTGTAATTCATATTCCTTCAACTCGTGCGGGATGTCCTCATATTTGAGGTCGTCCTGTTCTGCTAAACGATAGAAACGGTTGGTAATTTCTTGCGGAACGTCATAGTTGATACGAAACCTGTGGTTGTCGATAGAAATAATATCTGGCTCCACTTCTTTCAGGACGCGGTCAGGGCTGACTATTCGTAGCTGAGAAGCCATCTGGTTTGAATCAAAATTATATGAAGACTGAGTATCTTGTCGATTGAATGCTGTATTGTTCATATGAAAACAGTACCTAAAGTAGGTAGGCTGTGATGGAGGGCATATTTATATCTCGAGGCCCTCTAGCCCCTTGGCACTTTTACTAAAGATCGGCCCAGGTATCGCGGCCTGTGCTGCCATTTTGATTACTTGTTACAGTTTAGCGCAACTATATATATTTATTAAAATGCTTGTAAGAATACTACGTCATCGCTTTTGATTCCACTCAGCCACGTTTTGTGACGCACAACCACGTGTAACAACAATCGAATACATGAGGGTAGCTATTAATACCTACCTAGTATATGTCGAAATCCGATAATAAGCCCCTAAAGAACTACTTTCCGCTCTCCTCAATAGAAATTATATCAGTAAAAGATCCAAATATACCCTTCACCCACCCAAAGTACCTACGTATACCTAGAAGCTGTTATAGCTGATGCAGACTAATACTTAAGGTAGCTACCTACCGAATTGGTTGATGTGCTCACATGTAAAGTTCTCAAAGATTTCTTGACTCCGAACTTTTCCTATTGGCTTAAAACGTAGTAATATTACCAAAACTATGAAATTATAATAGGTGGCTGGAGACATTTACTTTAATGAGTTACTCTGGTGTGGTATTTAATCATTTGATGATGGATTAGTATTCTAATACTTAATGATATTCAAGCAGGCTAGGTAGTTTCCATTCAAACTTTGAGCAATTGAAAATGTAAACTGTAGAACTAGATATGATTCGACAGTATGTACTGTAGAACTAGATATGATTCGACAGTATGTTATCGGTTATGAAATAGGTGACAGGCTATCCATGTACATAAATGCACATTCCAGTTAAGCAGCGTTCATAGTGATAGTCAAATCGCCGCAGTTGATGCCAGACCACAAGAACCAATCTCCATGCTTGCTCTGCCAGCTATTAGCCGCACTAATGGCGCAGAGACACTGCGAGACGTCTCCCACAACACAAAGCCTAGCTCCTTGACCATTTTCCTTGCAAGTGCCTCCTTCTTTGCAAAGTTCTTCGACGACACTGGCAGGAGTTTGAGAACCCTTCCATCGGCCGGCATCATTGTTATGATGGCAATCGCACGCATTGACGAGCAAACCGGGCATCATGGCGAGAACCGAAACGAGTGCTGTGATTGACTGCATGTTGATGAATTGATGAGGTTCTTGTTGAAGATGCTGTGGAGAGTTGGTATAAGCAAGTTAAGTTCTTAGGATTGAGTTGATAACATACAGTTAACTTTGTGCTGGTATGAGCGCTAGTGTGATAGTTGGTGAGAGTTGATGTTGCTTGTGATTGGTATTGGTGAGTTGATGGTGACTTATTCTGGATGAGTATTTGATGTATTAGGTACTTGGGGAGGTAATGTCCTTATATAGAATTTCATGTTTCGAGGAAGGCTTCGATGGAAACCACAACGAAGACTTTGCCATCCACCTTGTGTGGTGCTGCTTGGTTTGCTACAACGTTGCCTTTGCTATTTTCGTCAACAGTGATGCGGTAAACATACTATACGAATTTCGACAATTGATCGATATCGGCGAAAAGGCGAGCTTCGCTGTCGTATTGGAATAGACAAGCCAATATTCTTAGTATCAAATAGTAGCTTTTCCCAGCCTTGTAGTATACTGAGAACGGGATTGGAGAGTCAATACGACGGGATTATATTATGACATAATTATTGGGCTGAGCAGTTATGCTGTGACGGTGAGAGCAATATTACAAAATTTTATTTTTAACAGAATGTCGATCATTCAGCTTGATCTTCCTTTGTAAAGTTGTCGCAAACATCTTGGCTCATTGATTTTAGGTAGTCTATACTATTAAGAGAGACGCTTGGGCTTTCGTCGTATTCAGCATACCAGTTACGACGCCCTATACTCATCCTAAGATCCTTGCTCCTGACAAACTATCGGACTGAGGCTTATCTATCGGACTGAGGCTTATCTATCGCTGGGTTTAGCATAGAATCCTTCAAAATGAATTCATGCGAAGAGCCAATTGAAACTTTTACCATTCCCCGTTTAGTGGATTTTCCAAGTGCGGCAAAGATGCTGTGCCGTAAGACTTAAAACCCACCATGACTACATTCTTAGTTGTTATTATAGCATAGTCTAACACGTGGAAACCACAACTCGTAGAAGATATATCATAATACTACTCTGGGTTATCCTGGTTCTGTGCCTTAATCTACAACGTGATCTACATTCTCTGCCGCATCCTCCGAGGCGGAGAACTGAGGACTGGGGAACCTACCTGTAAAAAAGAATATGCTTGGCAACTCAATGGAAGAAGTCTCGAGATAGACGGTGTCGTATTGTTGAGCTTCCAGATAGTAATCTCCGGAGCTCAAGAAGATATATAAAATAGGTTATGAACCACGAACTTTCCAGTGAAAAACAGCCGACACTCACACTTCTAAATCAAGTCAGAACTCATCTTGTCTATCAGCTAAGCAACTTATCTATTAAGCTACTCATCTTAAGCTATTTTTTGTCTACCAAACTATATATCACAATGCATTTCTCCGCCTTTGTACTTGCCTTCGCGATGGCCGCCGGATCAGTCTCTGGAGTCACCATTCGTAACTTCAGGAGCGCGACATGCAAGGGAAACTACAAACAATGTAGCGGCATCTTACCTTGGCAGTGCTGCTCTGGTGGCCCATCCACCTCAGGGGTAGTCTCCTCGGCAGAATTCATGGGGGTTCCCCCTACCGCTCTCGGATCTATCTGCAAAGCGAAAGGCGCCACTAATTGCGGTGAGGTCGCTCGCTCTGCTTCTGGCTCGCGATTCTGCATCGGCGCAGCTAACTGCCGGGGATCTTTCTGGATGGACTGCAACTACTGCAACAAGCGCGATCTCGCGAGTCGAGACGAGATCCCCAAAGAGCTCCAAGGGGCTAGTGTGGAGAATGCTGCTGAACCCGACACTGTTGCTTTTGAAGATCACCAATTCAAATACGACGGTTCGGTTCCTGCGGACGTGAAGCAAAAATTTGACGACTTGTTTGACGCCGACGCTAGTTACGCGGATATTCCCGAGGAACTCAAGCAATACGAACTCAAGGGTAGCGAGCGCAGGGGGCTTGATAACCTGGAACAGTTGGAAGCAACTGGGGAGTTTGAGTAATTTGAAGAATAAGGAGAGACGGGGTATTAGTTAGAACTGCATCATTTTGCTGAGTACTCTAGACGACTCATGGAGAGGCTCAAGCTGGCAACTCTCTGCGCTTTACCTAGGTAGACTTAAACCGGGAAATGAGGGTATATAACTTGTGGAGGAATTCCATGGGAATGTATTATTAGCGAACAATAATATTTTACCTACATATCGACTTATTTCGGGTTTGTATTACTCCTTATCACACTCGCCACCACCAGATGATGTTGGTGCTAACTAGAATACATCTGTTCCCTTTTTAGAATTTAGAATGAGCTTACTATTAGATCCTCATACCACTAAAATATCGGAGATAAATAGCGTCTAGCTGTATCAGTAGTCTAGTTTAAATAGGCTCATATACAGTTCTTCGGCAGACAGCTATGTTGTGTTCCCACTTCTTGATCACGATCCCACACTCGTATATTTAGTAAATAACCTAATTATACATTACATCCGGATCGAATAATCTTTCCTTGCGTCTTCAAGGTCACAGTATCAAGTAACTACCGTTCATTAGTTTCTCTCCAGTTCATCACCAAGCCCAGCGCCACAGGGGTGCTACAGCTACCCCTATTGACCGTGACAACAAGGAAGACCCCTTTCAACTCTTTACAACGACCATACTCGTAAGACTTACGGGTGTACCAACAAGTGGAAACGCTTGTGTAATAGATTTATGTCGTCGGTTGACATTCAGAAAATTCCGGGGGTTCTAGAAATGGAGTGGCTAGTCGCCATCCGTACACACCGCTCCATACCTTGGGTTCTTTAAAAGGTTCCATGTTCGTGCTTACACTCCCCACAACTGGCTCTGCGTTACTCGAAAGCGTCGTGTTGAATAGTCTCCTGTAGTAATCACAAGCTCGAGTGTTCGCAAAAACAGGCTGGTTGGTGATGTTCTTGACAAAGTCCAAGGGGTACGGAACATTCCCCCAAGATTGCGCCGTCTCTATGGTCATATATCTATCCCGTGTCCTGTTGTTGCTCCGGCTATGCGCATATGTAGTGCCGCTAGGTAAGGTCTTGTAAGCGTCGCAAGGCGGATCAAAGGTTGATGGGTGGACATCCGCGCCGTAGCTCTCTGCTCCCTCAATGGCGAGATGGTTTTCTGCCGAAATCATGAAAGTTGCGGCCCACCGGAATGGGGTATGACCACCGCCGAATATATCTAAGAACGGAAACTCGAGGGAAGCACGCTACCAAGTAAAGACGTCATTAACAGAATTCTCAACGAATGCTGAGAAGATAACTGCGCTTACTGAGAAGTCTGCTAAGGAAGCGTTATAGGCGGGCAATTGAAGATCATGATCGTGCACGATCTGCGCCATCATTGGATACATCCCATGAGGAAACGAAGGTAGAAGCGTTCTGTACGCTTCCTCAAGAATTCCATACTCATTAGGGATAACCTGACGCGCCATGTCAAGAGGTATGGGCACGACCAACGTAGTTCCGTTCAAATTCCCGCTAACAAGTGTTGGATATTGCTGAGCATGCTGATTTGGAAAGTCTTGAGATACGCAGACCTCATGTGAAAGCGGGATTACGTGTTGTGAGGAGGCTACTTGGGTGATATATAGGGCGAGGAGATGAAGCAATGCGGTGTATGGCATCTTATATATTTAAATGGTGGTATTGTAAAGACTAGAGAAGTTTGGGCACTTGTCTTGAGCTACACCTATAGTGATGTTGCGGACCCAGTAATAGAGTTAACGTGTACTCAAAAGACACCTTGGAATATGCTAGAAAGACATCTAATAGTTAGCAAAGCCAATAGCTCGACACAAACTGTTTTCAAAGCTGACCTAGCTTGAGTATTATGCATCCATTATAGGAAAGACCATGATAAGAATATACCAAATACGTGGGATGGTAATAATATATGATGCAGCTCGTGTCATTTCTGGAATTAGTATCTTACATCACTTGGCATTTCTTTGAATAAGAATATTCGGAATGAATTGCCGATCCCCTGAGGGCGGAAAATAACATTAGGTTAAAGAGGACAAGGAAAGTTATTAGTCAAGGGTTGCGGTTAGGAATCCCGACGTATCATTGTATGCGTGTACTACTGGCCTCCAAACAGCAACATTGGGGATCACCGCAACGCCTTTAATACCCAATAGGTAACACAGAGCACGCCGACGGCCTAAAACTTTCAATTTAGCAAAGCCAAAACTCTGTAGAAACAAGCCAAGCATCTCATCATGAATTTGTTCAAAGATGAGCGATTTCCCCGTAAGCCACATGTTTCACGACGCACCAGTGTCTCGTGGAACAAAAGTGAATTGATCTTCGGGCCAACAGCCAATCATAAGACGACTTAATGAAACGGAACATTCCCAATCCGGGGCGGGAACCAACATGCGGCGGACCCTGCCGTGGTGAAGGTAAGGCATCCGGCGGATCGGGACTAGTGGAGAGCGGATGAGTGACGTTCCGCACAAATGAGAAAGACTCTCCAAGTAGCACGGCATATATGAGCGGCATATACTCATATATGCAGGGCTTCTCGGTACAACGGCTATCCGTGATCCCACAATTGCTGTGTATGTTAATATACCTATGCGAATTGAGTCCTCATGATAACTGCGAAAGATGCATATCAATTTCCAAGATCCATTAGAGGCCGGCTATGTTGGCAGCCGTATACGGAGCGGCGCTTGAATCATACATTCTCGCTCAAGGACATCGAGATGACGGGCATTAGAGCGGGAATGAGACACAGAGAGCTTAGCAGTTATCAATGGCTGAAAGAGCGGTTAAATTATATACAGTTGCATTGTCGCCCCGAAAGCATCGTGATATGAGGTGCAGCTGCTGCAGAATCCCGAGAGATCAGTCGCAACGCTTAAGCCGAGAACTCTGTCAACTCTCCTCCCTCAACACTCGCCTTGCCCTTCCACTGCAGCTTGCTCGGTACAAGTGGCTGCAGCACCTTAAGCCAGATAGTATCGTACAGACTCGGGCCGCCATCGGCAGCCTTGCTGCCGGGCTCGAAACTGCCGTAGTTTTGGGAGTCCGTGCAGCAGGGACTGGCAGATCCCCAAAATGGGCCTGCCGCCCACGCTGTCCAGCCGATGTACTCCTCATTGTCCGCCAGGTAATTGACGAAGTCGGTCAGCATGTCGGCGCATCCCGTGTTGTTGTGCCCGCCGAATTCGGTAACGAAGGCCTTGAGATTGTGCTCCTATTGAAGGCATTAGCTGATAATTCCCCGCTAGCAATTTATAGTATGCGACGCGTTTACTAACCTTCAGCCATTTCGTTACATCCGCCAAGTTAGTCGCTGGGTCGCTAACGCATTCGCTATGGGTGCCGCTATAGTCTACGTCAAGGTATTCGTGGATGTCGATCGCCGTGTTGTTAAGCGGGTCGGTAAATTGGTGAATGATCGCGCTGTTCGGATCCGGGCCCTGAGTCCAGGCGTGGCCTCCTGTCCAGCTGTTACCAGGTAGGATGATCAAGTTATTCGCATTGGCGGCACGAATGGCATCTATGGCAGCCTGGTTATTCTTGGCCACGAGGCTGGTCGCCATGTCATGCGGTTCGTTCATCAGCCCAAAGATGACCTTCTCGTTATCCGCAAAGCGGCTGGCTAACTCGCCCCAGAATTCTCCGAGCTGCTCCGTCGTAGCGGCGGTAGAATCCGAGGTGTCACCAATCACGCTGCCGCTATACGGCTGGGAGCTCGGGTCGTTATAGCGCATGTAGTTGTGCGGATCCAAGATCGCATACGCGCCCTTGGTAACTGTCACGTAATCGACTGCCTCCTTGAAGTAATCGAAATGGGTCTCGTTAAAAGTCTTGCCGAGACCAGTCGCAACAGGGGCCATTCGCTCGAGTAGGAAGGCTATGCGGAAGAGATTGAGGTGGTTCTCATCTACATGAACATCAACACCAGCCTTGTTGATGAATTGGTAGTCGACGCCAAATGTCCCTGGTAAGCCGGTACCCTTCTTGGCATCAGCGCTCCAGACACCAAATTCGCCACCAGACTCCGCGACACCGGCGTAAAAGATTGTTGCCGAAGCCGTGGAGGCTAAACTAGCAAATAGAACTGGATACTTCATGTTGGATAGGTTCTATGTACGAATTCTTAGTACATAGGAGTTGAATGGGTCGCTCGCTGATGAGGACCAAGTGCGTCTTATAAGTTAGACTTCGTACACGCAAGAATATGATCGACCAGTAGTCCCTGAAATCAATCAATTAGCATCTCCAGTGGGGGTGGATGAACGACGCCCGATATCCATTCCTAGCGATGGAAACGACGTGATTTATACATCATTAGGCCGTGTCAGCGCAATCTCATCTTCTTGAGACCCGGGGATTTCGGATCACATCTTAAATTGACCGCAGAAAATTACTGCTAGTGGAATATGATCTAGCAAAATTAGGCTATAGATCCAGGCACAAGCATCAAAATGTCTTTTATCATGTATAATGGGTATCATTGTAGTGATGATGAGATCAAATGCGGAGGTTGTGGCTCCGCCTATGGATTTTGAGGAGACAAATCTTGGCTCCGAAGCTTTTCCCAGCGATTGGATGATCGTCCTCTTGCATTTAATCGCTTAACAACAGACAGTCCGGTGTCGATCCGCCGAGTCAAGGAGAACCACGGACCTTTTGATTTTCGGGTTCGCCGCCTAACGTAACTGGAGTCTGCATTGTGAATATCATAGTTCCAATATGGTCCGGATCGTTAGAGCGCGCCACCGACGAGACTGACAATCCACATTGCAATCCTAACTTTTAACCCGACCCGCCTTTCAGTTTTTGCAAAGTCATCCAACGTTACAGGACTTGCGTATTCTTGTAGCCACTTTTGCTCATCGCCTAACCTCTTCTTCAAATCGCCGTCTTGCGTCACGATCAAAGCGCCGGCTTCGAGGTCGTGAGAGTAGCTTCGTTTCGTATAATTAGAACTGCCAATGATGCTAATCGCCGGGTCCCGTTCATTCGGAAGGGTTATCCATAGCCCCTTAGCATGATATGTCCATCCACCTGGTTCATTGACAGTGCCTCTCCTCCATTCCTTGAGCACTACTGCAGAATCCTGCTTCCGCTCCTTGATCGTGCGAAGGAACCTTCGGGCGAGCAGGGTGTACGCATCAGGTAAAAGCCCAGATACGCCCTTTGACTTGTAAAATCCATTTGCGTATGGAGACGCTGTGATGACCACGTTACTTTGCGAAGCCGTTGAGAGAAGAAGATTCGTAAGCGACGGAGCAGGGTTAAAATACCCTGCCGTGAAAGTCCACGATGAGCCAGCATACTCTGGAGCCGCAAGCGTTTTTAAGATATGCGTCATCACTGGGAGTTCAGTTGACGAATCTGGTTTCATAAGTTGTGATAGCTGGCCAAGCATGTAAACTTTGGTGTTCCGCGATATGGGCGAACCCTGGTCTTGCGACTCGACACCATCAAGGGTTTCATTTCGGGCTATCAACCTACTTATAAGTGGTGTAGCTTTTGAGATGAACTCGGCAGGCTGATCCAGAGGGGACGGGGCGGCGTTAGTTGATGGCCAATTCAGTTTAAAGCCTGCAGGATCATCGTTCGTTGGCTCTACTAAAAAGCTAAGTGATGTAACGCCCTGATAAAGTCTCCAGAAATGGTTGGTTACTTCATTGGAAGAGAACAGGTGATACCGATCTTGGCGATTGGTGAAATAGTCGTTCGAAAGATTCGCACTGGATAAGATTAGCTAGATGTCGATTACTTGTAAAAAAGAATATATAAAAATAAAAATATATATAAAAATAAAAATTTTACCCCGAGAGGATTATTTCGTCGTCAATCCCATATAGCTTCATGTGTTGTAGTCCCCATCCTTCATTGATGCGCTTTGGTATATGCTTCTTCCGGAAGCCGGTCAAGTTCGGCGTATGGTACATTCGAATCTCAACACGATCTGAGCCGAACTCTGTAACAAGAGGAGCGAGAAGAGATGCGCAAGACGGATTAGGTGCTTCTCGAGTTCCACGAAGGGCGTCCGTGAGGATGCTCAATTTCAGCTCGGGGTTCGCGCGAAGGGCATCTTGGAGCGTCGCAATCTCAATTATAGTTAGCATTAATCTTTACGCTTATAGACCGGTCCAGACACATACCAGTTCCTTCTCTGACTTCCCAATATAAAGAGTAGATAAAAATATTCTTTTCTTAGCGCTACGTATTCTGGCCTAGCAATGTCAACTTAGTCCCGTTCACTCCGTTCCCAAGGGATTATCACCGACCTTAAGTGTCTCGTAGAAATCAGTAGGGGTTTTTATGATTTGTATCTGCGAACCGTTGATCTGGAATGACGGTGCGATCCTATCCAACTCATTTACGAATGGCGCCAACATTCCGGTAGAGCTGGAAGCGCTACCTGTCGGCATAGGACTCGAAGGTATTGAATATCGACGACACCATTGCTGGCCCTGTCGGCTCACGGGTCGAGCAAGAGTAGGTCGCAGCTTTAAGCAGTATCGCGATGCGCTTCGAGCTATCATGGCAAATTACCGAGAAGGAATGAAATAGTTCATATTCGTTAGCTTGAATCTAGAGTTGCGACCCGATTTGAATTTTGAGCTCTCTAAGCTTCCAATTGCTCGACTAGTGTCTTATCGATAGACTTCTCTAAAAAGAAATGACGTCGTTAGATTAGGTACCGAGATATTTCCAATTGCATGGAGAGGTCCATATGGAGGTACAATAGGTCGGTCCGATGAATATCCGCCGGACCAAAAGCGGATACCTATGTTCCGCCCAATTGAATGCGCCTTCAATTCGATGACCTCGAATTAAACGTCTCTTAACCTTACGACAGCAACATTGAAGGTGGCTGAAGTCCCATTGAGCTTCGCCCACCATGTCAACCATCACAAGAACCCTCACCAACATATGGCGAGTAGGAATAAAGGTCAGTTGTTTGATCCTCGAACTTTGTCGACTGATGCTAACATTAATTGCGACAGGACTACTTCCACCAACTCCAAGTGCGTTAACCATCGATATCATTGAGCTATTAATTCGAAACTAATAACAGCCTCCCCTGAAATAGAACATCGGTACTATTTAACCGAAATCTGATGACGCAGAACAAATTCTAACGCGACGCAGGCGACACGAAAGCTGGTACCTTAGTCGGCGTTGACCGTTTTGGCAATAAATATTTCGAGAATAACGAAGAACTGCCTCGTACGTCGTTATAACCTAGGATCGATCGATTGTGGAAGCTAATACAGTGCAGTACGGACCAGATGGGTGGACTACAAGAGCTCCGACTTCGACGCGTACGTATTCCTTATCAGGTTCCGGGGCTATTCACTAATACTGGAGTTCAGGTCCCAGATTGAGCCTGGCTGGCACGCCTGGATCTCCTATACCTTCGACAAACCACCTTCACAAGACCCGCTGCTAGCATACAAGAGGCGAGTATGGGAGGATACCGACGCGAAGACTATTCCCAACTATACTGCGACGCGGGGAGCCTACAAGCCGTATAGCACGTACGTTACGTTACTGCAAGCCTACATCCGAGCATCTACTAATATCCTCGTAGAGTAAAGTCGAAGATTACGATGTGGGAGCCTACCGCCGTCGAGAGGAAATAAACACCCAAGAAGCAAGCCGTGTACATAGTCATGATGGCTAAGGAAAGCCAAGACCAAAGCAATGACAACCAAAGCAATGATAACCATATTCCCACCAGTACCATCGCCTACATTCATACCGTGGTTTCATCCATTAAGGGCATATGGTAAACGGTCTATTAGCCGTTTTCTTTAGTCATCCCGAGGAATTCAATAGTAGATTGAACCCAATGGTAGATCTAGGAGTTCCGTAGAAACGGGTTTCGACAACACCAACACTAGCAAGAAGGAGATTATTCTGGCACAAGTTAAGAGGCGGTATACGACGGCAAAAACATATGAATGTCAAAGAGCTCGCCGTATTCAGAAGTATGCTTTAGAGTCAAAATGATATCAAATTCGAAACCGAATATTCCAACTATCCCGACCCTTTGAAGCATTTCGTGTCCATGGACAATATAAATATAGAACCTTGAACTTTTTACCCCAAGTTTTCATTTCCGGCAGAATTCCCTTTTTACCTTTCCATGTCCATTGCCTAGTGCGCCCAACGATTTGTTTCTTTTCTTTTCTTTTCTCTTCCTTGTCATTTACAGTACACTCGAGCACTAATGACCAGCAATCTGTTCTTCTGTTAACATCTTGGATATGTTTTCTACATTCTATCCAGCTACTTTGCTAATTCTGCCCTATCAGCTAGTGAAATATGGAATCCAAAGCCTTCGATGTCTCTGGACCTACGTCTCGGTAGGGTTCCAATTTCCCTCCAACAAGCAAGTCGTCCAGAGTAGCTTTGCTGTAACCCTCGACTTCCCATAAATTACCAACCCCTTTCACTATTATCCCTTCTCCCCAAGCCTTTCGACAGTACCACGATAAAGCCAGGGGACTGCCGGATTTGATCGCATTATCAAGCTCGTTGTTAATCTTCTCCAGGCTGTGTCTGAATATCCGCGGTTCTACGCCGTATTTCTTCTTCAAGGCAGCAGCGATTTCTTTCCCCGTAGCCCTTAATTCTGAAAGGCCGATTGCCCTGCCCTGCAGTTGAGCCAAGGGTGTAGTGGCAAAGATGGATGCGTATGCCGCGGCCACGTAATTCCTCGTGCATATGTTGGTTTGCTGGTTAGCACTATCCCCTGAGAAGATGACTCGATTCTTAGGAACATCAACTCCAAAGATTCTACACACCCGCGTCATTAGCTCATGTTCGACATTTATACCCTACGCAATACTTACCCAATTGAAAGCGCTGATTCAGCAAAGGATCCTACATATACCAGTGTGATGGGTATCTTGGCTTCCTTAGCTGCCTCTTCAACTTCGAACTTGGCCTTTAGGACGGGAACCCGTAAAGCTGACTCTGCATCATTACGGAACACAAGATCCGACGGAACGAACAGTTTGACATTGGTGCTTGGGATCGCCTTGACGAAAGCGTGCTGTGTGGACGTGGCTTCTCGGCCCGCCAGAGAGCTTTGGGTATCTATTAGCGCCAAGAAATGCATGCCTTGGATTGGCAGTCTGCTACCTATGCTTACATGACAATATCGATGTCTTGCAGAGCAGCAATTAGTTGCTTCTGATCGTCTAGATCGACTTCAACCCTAGGTACGCTCGGCGGCAAACCAGATGCGTCTGAGCCCGGCCGATATAGCACCTTGACTGGGGCCTTCGAAGCTATCAAGGCGTTAGTGATAGCCGAGCTAGCCCAGCCACGGTGTCCGTAGATAGCGATGCGGTTAAAAGACATGTTGTATAGGTAGGTATGTATATGCGTGAGTGCTTTGTTGTCGATAGGAAAGCCAGGAATTACCAGTTGAGCCGCAAGGCTCTCCTATTATATATACATCTGTTTACCATATTGGCGACGGATAAGAAGGCTGAGAATAAAGCGAATTAGTAATGTATTCCATTCGGAGTCAGCCTCGCGATATTTTCAGGGGCGATTATAACCCGAAGAGCAGTATAACGACTAAAATTAAGTATGGGGCAGTCGGAATTACCGACAGGGCATAACCGCGAAAAGCGTTAACTCACACCGAAAACCACTTAGGTAACTAGTCGCAGCGGATTCCTTGTCTTCCGTAGAAGCCGTCGTATTTAGCTGGATAGCAATTGGCCGCAGTGTTAGCCTTGTTGTATCGTGTGATCCTACCAAGTAACCTAATTCTTTAGCCTTGATTTGTAATGTATAGCATAATGATGGTATTGTACTATCCTTTACCAAAAAGAATAGCAAGACGGGGCTTTAATTCCTCTAGAACTGTCAGCCTGTCACATCCGATATGTGTTGATTAGACATCTCGACAACCGGCCTATGGCGGTCAACACATAGAAGCGCACGTATTCTCCCAGCTCTTAGGCCACTTAATTCCCTTTTCCCGTCGAATGTACCTCACTGTTTACCATCTGACCCTGTTAGACCCTTCTTATTATGTTTTTTTATAAGCTTCCTATTATTATTATCTATCAATATATAACACTCCAATACTGAAGTAGAGTTCTCGAAATCATGAACCTTAGAAGTCACAGAGACTATCACGCCGAAACTGTCAGCCTGTTTCTTGGATGGCTCAAAGGATCTCAGAGTGCTTGTCGACGATATGTGCGCTTCGATAACGAGGTATAAAGGAGTTCGTAGACGTAATTGGTATCCGAAGTCCAGGATCTAGTTACGGGTATACTTTAAGTATGTATTGCCCATGGTTCAAGATACCCAGGTAGTGGCTCATTGCGCGACGACATAGGAACCTAGGTAGGTACCTACCCAAGTAGTTTATACATTTCTTGGTCGCACCGTGATCCCGATACTGGCCCTTAAAGTCGTTAGGTGAACCATAAGTATGCAAAATATTAAATGAATTCAACGCACTCTGAAATGTCAGAATGAGTTACCTGGATTCATCCATCACATATAACAACCCCTATACCATGTTCAGAATGTCCCACGTACATACCACCTCTTTAGTCTAGGACCATAACCATATATCTTCTAGCCGTTACGCAACCGTCCTAACACATTTGTCTTGCATCGGGTATGATTCTTGTACGAGTCTCTCGTTCGATATGTTTGGCAAATTATTCGGCGATGTTGACCGACTAGAGCTGTCGTGAACTTGGTCATAGGCAACGTGGAATGTTTGTTGTACATAAATGGAGGCTTGATGCGACCCGTCGGCCCATGACGTCCTAGTCGCCTGGGTAGATTCCGAACTGAATATGCTTTTGGTAGACGAGAGGACCGGCTCCCAAATCCATTTCCTGAAGAGGAACTGGATAGTCGGTAGACATGCTGCTAAAACTCCTATGCCGCATTCGACCATTCCCCAGTATAGACAAGCCGTCGTTCCAACTGCAAGGGAAGTGAGCTTCCATTCTCAAAGGGGCAGGACTACCAGTACCTACGAATACTATCGTTTGTAATATTAATACTTCCTATATAGCTTCCAGCCATGAGTACAAATCGTACTATTGAAGCGACGACAGTCCTAGAGCACATTAGCACTATCGCGATTCATTATTGGTATCACCTTACCCGCTTCCAAGAAGGAATAGTGAACAGACTCCTAATTTCTTCCTAGGGGATAACTGTAACCGTAACACCTAGATTTGTATTAGTCCAAAGCCCAGCAGACCAAACGGAGATACCTACCAGTGGAATCGGAATACAGATTATGAATACGTCCGCGATGAAGTCAGTAATACATAGAGTAAGAATGAGTTTCATATTACTGGAGCAACGCGCCTGGAATTCCACCTGCGAGTTCCAGATAGCCCAGAAATTGCGACCGCATTCAAAAAACATCCCGAAGAAAAAGGCGACGACCCACACCACTATAAAGACAATGAACGCCTTGAGAAATTTGTTGATAGCGCTACGCTCCCGGGTCGCGAAAACACGCATGTAAAAGAATAGAAAGCTCGCCTTCATACACCCTGTTGCTATGGGGAGCATGAGGAAGAAAATCCATTCGAGCTGTTCTACACTGTTAGGCACTATTAACTTCACATGCCTCGGCATCACTTACTTGTGACTTAAGACTCAGCTGCGGAGTAACAAGTTCGAAAGGGTTTCCTTGAAAGCCGTCCGGTATCACAGTTCGATACCCTAGTGCCTTCTGCGAAACACCGTAGAGTTGGCAAATGCCAATCCCCACGGTTATAAGCTATACGTAGAACATTAGCATGAGCGGCGAATCGAGGCCATTTCCGGGTTAGAATACTGTAGCGGGCACCATGAGCCAGTCATCAGCCCTGAGTGGTTGTTTCTGGACTTTACGGGCCCAAAATCGTAACCCAACGACGAAAATATCGATCACGGAAAGGACTATAGCCGCTGCAATGACATGGCCAGGGCGCATGTAGTAGAATGGCTCCTCCTCCGCCATAGCTCAAATATAATTTGATTTTATATCAACAATATAACGCTGCAAATTCGATACACTGAACCCGACGGGGAATTATCAAGATTCAGATGACAACGGTTCCATATAATTATGAGAGGAACAGAGCCAGCCTCGTTATTGACAATCAGCACACGCATCTTGAATGGCAAGAGAGTAGATCTAAAAGAGTGGACAGACTTGTAAGTTTTCTCTCGAACTTCATGATATTTACCTACGCCGCACACCTACTAGCAATATGATTTGCTCGTAAAAAGGTGGCTGCATATACTCCTACCCTACGGAGAAATGCCAACCATAAGCGACATCACACATGCCCGAAGGGGACATAATCTCCAATGTAGCCTAACTAATGCGCCCAAACATAAACGTGACATGATGCTGTCATACATTTCACAACAGAATAGGCTGGTCCGTTTCCAGTCGATGTCAATACCTTTCTTCCGTCTGAATTAAATATTACATATTAACCGTTCATTTATTCAATTTTTACTATTATATTGACTGGTTAACTTTGTAGCTAGTTTCAGCATCGCCGACCCTCTTCAAGCCATAGTTAGCAGCCGGCCATTTTTGAATTGGGCTGCTTACTAGAATCTACAGCATCTACAGAGGGAGTGCTGACAATTCGAAGGAAGTGCGCTGCATCTACGACATACTCCACGGGATCGCGTCCCATGATTGGATACTCACCATTTGGGGGCGTCAAGCCTACGATCCATCGATAATAACCCCGAACTCCTTCTAATCCAAATTAGCAGTGTTCTAGGATGAGGCATGGGATGTAAGTGTCATTCTAGTCTATTTAAATACCAGTCATTTCCTCTTCGATACTAGGTTGGTAGATAGGTACTATTCAATCTAAGTCCTCAACCTCGAAGGCCACACCTCATACATATCCGGCCAAGGCTTTGGATGTACCCTTAATAAACTCTCATATGACATTTGCCACATGTGCTGCTCACCCTTGTTTTTGTCGTGCGACATTTAAATACCAATCATAGGCAGAAGCCATATCACACCAAGGCTAAAGGAAATACTACCTAGCCCATGTGAATGGCAAATTATTCTGTCCGTTAATAGGTACCTAGGTAGCTAAGCTCAAGCAGCTGTACCAATTTGATTCGTCGCCATCGCCCGGCTTCTCCATGAGACCTGGTAATGGATAACTGTGTAACAATAGATTCTGATCTCAATTCTTACTCGACCTTTAACTTGTAGCTTGTTATGTTTTCTCATCGAGACTATGTCTGTGTTAAATATAGCCTTCCACCAATTTGATAAGATCTGTTTGATGTACAGTAAGCCTACTAAGAGAGCCTAGTACAGTAAACCTCTTGGTAAACCCATTTCCCTTATTGACGGGTCTCCCCTGAATTTTTCACGGTACCCATGTACACTTCAATCAGCTTAATCATTTCTTCCTGCTCAGTTATTGAGCTATCAGCACCTGATCTGTAGATGGAGAACTTTTAAATGGCACATCCTGTCATGTGGTGGAGCCGAGCAACGTGCAAACAGCTTCGTTGCTCCACAACGAATTATGAACTTCAAGTACCTATGTATCTATGTACAATATACCTAGAAGCTTCAATGTTGCGTATACATGTATCTACACTGAAAGTACCTAGGTACCCAATCGATCCTCTTTATTAGGAAAGTCTGAAATCAAAGCCTTGAATTGGCCAGCAGTTCAAAGAATCTCCATTTTCTTATCAGTGACTACATATTTCTTTATCAATTCCTCGAGTCAGAAGGTGATATCCTAGAAAAATCGAGAAGTAAAATGGGAACAATGTGAGGCAAGAACCAAATTTCATAAGAATAAAAGGCACTTTCCTACAATGGCTTGATTGGGTTATTTAAGTACCTTAGGTACCTCTTAAGCAGAGGGAAGGTGCGAGAAATTGAATAGTCGAGTACCTGGCTACTTGTTGGACTGATTTGGCAGGTACTGTGCACTGTCCCAGCTCCGGTACTTTCCAAAATAGATAGGTAGTGTAGTCTAGAAAGCGGACCTGATCCGGCGCCGAGACCCACAAATCCGGCCCCACTTCACACCGAACAGTGACTTCAAGTGCTGCTCCGGCCTATAAGAAGGTCCGAAAACAATAAAAACACCAATCATTTTAATTCCCAGTACCTCAATACATTCAGTGACTTCCAAAGTTTGTGAATTAGGCAAACTTTGTTGATCAGACACTTACCCACTTTCTATATCTACTTGCACTTTCCTACCTTTTCCAGCCAGCTGATTTCTCTGCGTTACCACCACAACTCCATCTATAAATACAAACTGCATTCCTCCTAAATTTCTCTTTCACTTTTTCCTTCTTCCATCAATGTCATCACTTTGGGAGGCATCGACAGTTGTGTCTTGACCAACCAAAATATTTTTGGGAGGGAAACCAATTTGCATTTCATAACTCAACGCGCAGGACTTCCTGTACTGCGAGTTCTCTTAGTACTACTCATCATTTGCCTTGCGGCCTAAAAGTCTATCACACAAGTACTTTCCAGACCACAACTTCGTTGTGTCGGCACCGGTTTGCGAACACTTCGTCCTTTTCTGACGCCTAAGCCTAGAGCTTTTTTTGCGACTTGGAAAGCGACATTTACGCGTCCCTAAAGCCAGTCACAATTTCGCAGTAAGTATCCTCTTCTACCACGACTGTCCTTGTATTACTTTTTCTGGGCGTACATACTGGGACTCTACCTCATTTCTTGTTTCCCTTGCTGACAATTTGAAGTTGAAGTAGTTCTTCTCATCAGTCACCTAAGTCGGATATTAGATCATTCTAATAAAATGGCTGGTATGTTTAACTCAAGCAAAAGCTATCAATTGTGATAATAAACCAAAATATATCCCTAAAAAATCTCTCTGTACCTACGTATCAACCTCATTAACATTCTCCTAGCAAATCAGTTTCCTTGCACCATTTGCCCCTATGTTGCTCAGTCACAGCCCAACCTGAACGAGCACAATCGCTATAATCACATTGGTCTCGATTGCCTCTTCCAAGGATGCAATGTTCGCGAAACTTCGGAGACAGGTCTTCGAGCGCATATTGCCAGCGCCCATGGCAATGTTGACGCCGTTAACGGCCTCCGTAGATGCCCGTGGGAGAATTGTACACGAAGCTTCTCCACCACTACTAGCCTTTATCGTTGCCTATACTTCCATACGCACGATACCATGACTGCACGCGGCCAAGTATCCCATGCAATTGGGAACTTGTCTAACCAAGTCACCCAAATCATCGCCCATCTGGATGGATTGGATGCACGACTGAACGGTTTGGATGCACGATTGGGTGGATTGGATGCACGATTGGGTGGATTGGATGCACGATTCGATGGATTGGATGCACGATTCGATGGCTTCGAGGCACAGTTGACCGTCTTAAACAACAACAGCAATGCTATGCTAACCAGCATTACTGCCATGCCGGCGGTGTTGCAGGCTATCGTCGCCAATGCTTCTCGCGCGGCCGGTCCCAGCCGTGAGAGCGGAGGTGAGGAGGAGGAGGAGGGGGAGGGTAGTGGCCGCGCCACCAAGCGCTCAAGGCCCTAAATGAGATGAATAGTTCGTGGAAGTCTAACAGAAAGTTCCTGAATATTAGTTGGACTCTGTGTCTCGCTTTGCTCTGCTTGCGGTTGAAGGGCCTGTTTTTTCTTTGCCTCTATGAGGTCTCAGACACGTTTAATAACTAGGTACATGGCCTGTACGATAGGAACCTATTCTTAGAGTGAATATTCTCAAGGTATCACGGTAATGATCAAGACTTCAGTGACCCCATCAAATATGTATTGTAGGCCTAGGGCGATCTCTGGGACTCGCAATGCATGTCATCAACCACCTTCAATCGTGGGGGTAGCCTTTTTCTTTTTATGTGATTGTGAACAAGTACCTAAGTACCACGACCTGATTTCCGTCTGGGGGATAATTGATAGTAATTAGCATGACTTATGACATCCTATAGCAGGTTTCTTAGCTAATAACTACCTGAGACTCAATTAAGCTTTCCCATCGGCGATGCCTTTATGTGGCCAGTTATCTCGATGACATAGTATGTGTGAAAGCAAGTGGCATATGTGTGGCTAAATTACTGGATGATTCCCTGTTTAGTCCCTGTTCAATAGTGCCAGCCAATCAGCACCTCCAATACAGCCACCATATGACGTAGAAAAGCAGCCACATTGTTTCGACAAGGACCCCTGACCTACTCATTAGGCTTTCTTACGTCGATATTAGTATTAGAAAATATCAGATATGGTTATGGATAATAAGCAGGCCTTTCTCTCTTGGGCTTATTTGATTTTCTTTTCTCTCTGACTCTAAATTATATTCCTAATATTCCCTCGAGTCCTATATTTTCTTACGGAACCGAAGTAAAATAAATAAACCAGGAAACATCGCTATGGAGTGGGCAAAGCAGACGTACAACGAGCAATATGAGGTCTGGATGCCCTGGATCGAGGACAAATTCCTTAAGTATTTTACCAAGGATAACAAAGCTAGCTGCGCGACTAAAGGCAAGTATCTCTTTCACTTAAACGCCCTTAAAAAAGTCGGATCCGCCGCAAATTCGCCCCTCCTCTGGAAAGTCGACTCAGACTCGGGCTAACCAAGGCGTATCTTACAATAGAACAACTAGACAAGGCCAAAGTTACCCATATCGAGCAGGTCGATACGCTACAGGATGGTGTAAACGGCGCAGTCGCTGGACAAGTAGGCCAAGGCGGATTGCTACAGCCAGTCGGTGATCTAGTATCAAAAGAGGGCTTCAACCGCGCCGAGCGAGGCGGAAAAGACGAGCAGGGAGGAATCCTACCTTCTGCTATTCCCGGAATCCCCGGAATCCCCGGCCTAACGAAATAAAAGCCGTACACTGAAGACCTCCACGAGGATTGGTACGGGAAACGATGCAGGGTAGTATGTGATATTCGTAAGCGGAGTATGGAGTATAAGGGGCTGGAATCTTGTGCAATGAAATAGGTCATCCAGCATAATGAAAGGAATTGCTGTTTTGGTAGACATATGCTGGGCTATGTCCTATTAAATCTCCCAACTAATTCAGCTTCACGTTCGAAGACGGAGAAGATATGTACCAGCGGAATTGTAATAAAAGAACTGGAGGTATTCGTTATTGTCATGTACTTCATGGTTTCTTTAAACAGGTGTAAGCAATTAAGCAGAATTTGTTATAAAGCAAAACTCCCCTCATGTATATGCGTAGAATCTGACATGCATCATCTCCTTGATGTGTGTATCAAGCCACATGCGACACGATGATCCCATTTTAAATAATTGTATTAATTGACGAGGAAGGGAACCAAGGTTACTGCTGTGTGCTATGACGTCATATGCACGAAGAATTGAGGACCAGGTATTCGGGACTACCCCTGTAGCAGATCTCATCGGAGCTTATGGGCGCAAAGACAACCCTTAACATCACAACGAGTCCGACGCACTCTTAGTAAGAGTAAGTTCAATGAGTACCTAATTTATCTCGATAGCTTGAGACTTATATAGCTAATGTCTTGAAAGGAGATCGAATCTCTGAAACAAAGACAAACATGATACTGGATGCTCTAAAGTCTAGAATGCAAACGAGATCTCTGGAGGGTCTAAAATAAATGCTCCGAAGGTAACAAGGAGCTTCTATTCTAGGTTCGGGCTTCTATAGCTGCTTTAATAGCTATTTACAAGTCAGTCTTACGTTTATATCAAATTTTAGAGAGAAATTAACTTACCGTCACAAGTAACTTTAGCATCGCCGAATAACATCTTCGTTCCAGGCATGTAGAACATGGGGTTGGGAACATCGGCTAGTTATTCAAACATTAGCGCGTTGGCCCTTGCTTCTTTGCAAACGGATATTATAAAATAAAAATAAAAAATCAACTTACCATAGCCACTGGCCATACCACGTTTCATAACAATAACTTGCCTACTCTTCCAAGCGTGGAGAACAGGCATTCCCGCAATCGGACTACCAGGCTCGAGCGCAATAGGGTTAACCGTATCATTCGCGCCAATTACGAGCGTAACATCAGTGTCCCCAAAGTCGTCGTTTATCTCGTCCATCTCCAGTACGATATCATACGGCACGCTTGCCTCTGCTAATAGAACGTTGCACTGTCCGGGCATGCGACCCGCGACAGGGTGGATGGCAAATCTAACATTGATCCCTTTGGCCCGGAGCATACTGGTAATCTCGCTAATAGCATATTGCGCTTTCGCGACCGCCATTCCGTACCCAACTACGATAATGATATTCTCCGCGTTGACAAGAGATTCGGCCGTGTCCTCGACATTCGTCTGTGTTACTGACCCCTCGATCTTGTAGTCTGTTTTCGCTGGCGCCGATATACCACCAAAAAGTACATTCGTGAGACTCCGATTCATTGCCACGCACATGATGTACGAAAGGATCGAACCAGAAACGCCTATAAGCGCGCCTACTGTAGTAAGTAATGGATTTTCCAACATGAAACCTTCCGCTACCAACGCAAAGCCGCTGTACGCGTTAAGAACCGTGATCACGACTGGCATGTCCGCTCCGCCGATTGCAGATGTCGTAGTAAACCCTTTGGCAAACGACAGTATCGTGTTCGCACTTAGTGCCACAGCAGCAATCATAGGCGAGCCTGGTGCCATCGTAACAAAAGCGCCCATCGTTCCTATGTTAGCAGCAAGCATGCTTGAGTTAATCAGGTGACGGCCAGGGAGAATCAAAGGCCTCGAAGATATCTTTCCCGCTAACTTCATGAACGCGACGATAGACCCGGTAAACGTGATACCACCAATTAATACCCCGAGGTAGGCTGTGACAAGATGAAGAGTCGAGATATGAGAAAGGTCACCCATGACGCTTCCAATACTAGTCAATACCGCAGCTAGACCAACAACAGAATGGAGTGCTGCAACTGTCTGGGGAAGATCCGTTGGAGTAATGCGTTTGCCAATGACGAAGCCCAAAATGGCTCCAGCCGTGGCGAGAGTACCAAATTGGGTCAACACTTCGGGACTGAATCCGACGGCTAACAAAGAGGCGAGGACACCAGAGCCAACACCGAGAATTCCAAGCAAGTTACCCATTCTTGCCGTGGCTTGGGATGCTAAGCTAGACAAGGAGCTGATACAGAGGATTGAGCTAACCATGTATCCCGCTTGCACAAGCCCTGCGGCGCCTGTCGAAGCCGCCGCAAGATAGCCGCCTCCGAACAGAATACCGGGAATTGCATAGAGCCATGGGTACTCGGGTGGATCAGTTGGCCCTACTTCTGATTAGCACGTAACAACATATCCACGGGCTAGCTGACATCACGTACGTTTAAACATATCTAGCATTCTCTTCGTAATTACGAAGCCGCCCGACACGTTTACGAAAGCTAAGAGCACAGATGCTGCACCAAGCGCTTGTGGGATTGTTTCGGGGACATAACCACCACCCAGGATGAAGAGACCACCAATACCAACCATTCCTATGACAATAAGTCAATAACTTCGAGTTGAGAAATATATTGGGGCTGCTTACCAGATATAGCATTAGTGACGCTCATCAAGGGAGAATGAAGGGCCGGAGTTACGCCCCAGACAACTCGATATCCGATCAGCGAAGCCAGTGCAAAAGTGAAGGCGTTTCCCATGAAGATAGGCCCAGTAAGCTTTCCAAGAGCCAGAGCAGTGCCCATACCAGCAGTAACCGCAGCCACTTCTCGAGATGTCTTCTGGAATGGAGTTACCGCAACTACCTTTTCCTCAGCCTTGGCTGCAGCTTTGGGCGTAGGAGCTGGTGGAGGGGCTGGCCGCGGTGCAGGCGGCAAGATCTCTCCTTTATTAGTAACGATAGCACCTCGAACAACTTCGTCGCTCAAATCAATGCCGAATGACTTATCCCGGGGTGACATCGACAGAAGGAACTTAACAATATTATTCGAGTACAGAGTCGACGACTGCGTTGGTAGTCTAGATGGCAAGTCCGTATATCCTTTAACGATGTCAGTAATTCGGTAATTTTTCAACTAACACTTAGGTCTTACCAATGATCTTCACGCCGTTGTACGTTACCAGTTTACCAGCTTCGGTCACTTCGCAATTACCCCCTGCTTCAGCAGCCAAGTCCACGACAACAGAGCCAGGTTTCATGACTTCAACCATATCCTTAGTGATTAGCTTGGGTGCTTTCTTTCCAGGAATAAGAGCCGTTGTGATAATGATATCAACGTCTTTAGCCTGCTCAGTGAATAGCTTCATTTCGGCAGCGATAAATTCAGGAGACATTTCTTTAGCGTATCCACCAGCTCCAGATCCATCTTCCTGGATCTCAACTTCGATAAACTCGGCGCCAAGAGATTGGACTTGCTCTCTTGCGGCAGGGCGTGTGTCAAAACCGCGAACAATTGCGCCCATCCTGCGAGCAGTTGCAATTGCACTCAAACCCGCGACTCCAGCGCCGATTACGAGAACCTTGCATGGGGGAATTTTCCCAGCCGCAGTGACCTGACCAGTCAAGAAGCGGCCAAAGTTGTTGGACGCTTCTAGAACTGCCTTATAACCGGCAATATTCGCCATTGAGCTGAGGGCATCAAATACTTGAGCGCGGGAGATACGAGGAATCATGTCCATAGCAAATGATGTAACCTTGCGAGCAGCGAGGCGCTCGACAATATCCTTGTTCTGGGCTGGATGGAGCATTGAGATGATTGTTGCGCCTTCTCTAAGTCGTTCGATCTCCTTGACATTCGGCCCTCGTACTTTAAGTACGATATCCGCTTGTCTCCAGACCTCATCTGCGTCGACTAGGGTAGCGCCAGCTTTCTGGTAAGCTTCATCTAGGAAGTCGGCCAGCGCACCAGCTCCGCGCTCTACTAATACATTACGAAAGCCCTTCTTCTTGAGAAGAACAACATTTTGAGGCGAGATTGCCACACGTCGCTCGTTAGCAAATGTCTCGCGAGGCACACCTACAGTGAGATCTGCGTAAGGCGTGGATGGCGTCTCGACAACGGTCGAGTAGGCTGTTACCGGAATTGTTCTATTCGCAACATTCCTACCACTATCGAACGTCTTCTTTGGCAACGCGGGTAGAACTGTGGGCTTCCTAGCATGGGTACTGTTCCACTGTCGTCGACAGCTTACAGCTACCGCTCGAGATTGTGCCGTACAGTCTATACATTCCGTCTACTTAGTATATACTGCGCGAAAGAAGAATATGCTGAGATGCCTAGACACCTCCTCATATTCCATGCATTGGAACGAACCTAAGACGTGTGATATGGCGCGGCGTGTAAGGCCCTCTGTCGCACGAGGCGAAGCGGGATTGGCGACCAGCGCCGGCCGAAGTAATGACCAGGACATCATATTGACAAGGCGCAATAAATGTCTGCCATGCAGCGCAATTTTAAAGCTTCATTCGTCATCTGCTATACCTCCCTACGAACTCCTAGAGCGACATCACATTACGAGGAGAAACATAGAAAAGAATGTCGCAGGAGGCAAGAAGTACAGAAGGTTAGTAGAAGAGAAGGGTTCATCCCACGCAACCAAATAGGGATAAGAGTAGCAATTAGGGAGGACAAAATAGGAATGCCCAGTCAAGCTTTAGGTATGTATATTTGATAATAGATGCCCAAGCCTTCCTTTCACCCTCCACTCGAAGCTACCGTCCCCCGCTTCCAAGGATCCTGGCTACATAAAACTACCAATATTCAAATAATAGGGTGATAGTTGTTGGTATAGCAGTCTGGATCATCTGAACGGTTGGCGAAACAAGCCGCACCAATCAATGGCTTAGGGTTTCTAGGCTGTGTTCTCTGTGGTCGGTGTAAAAGAACAGCCGATGTAGAAAAAAACGATATGTCTAAATCACATCC